GCTGAGATTTTACCTGAATTAACGGTAAGCGGATGTTTGCTGAAAACTGTGACAGGACTAATCAGGACAAGCTTAAAAATACTCCATCTCAACCCAAAAGAAAACAAAATCGACGATTTGGATCCAGGTGGTCGTTTCCAACTTATAAGTATACAATTCTTACTGCTACTTTAAGATTCATTCGCCAAAGTAGTCAAGGTAGTACTGGTTTCCAAGTACCGTATTAGTCCTATTGGGCACTGAGCTACTGATGCTGGGTTTTGGGAATGTCACGGGTTTGGGACCACCTGCTTGCTTAATCTTTCGATCCCTTTCCACGATACCCTCGATGAAAAGAGGGAGAGGGAGGGAGGGAGGGAGAGGGAGAGAGAGTGTGTGTTAAAAGAACTGCACGTCTGGTAAAATCGAGAGGTTTTAATTCTGAATGAATGTGGATAGATAGCAATGCCCGAAAAGTAAACTCATTAAACCGCTGAGAGCAAGTCCCATCTGAAAGAAATGAGAGGCGCCCTAATTCCTGCGCTATCACTTCGGCTTAAGGAGACTTAACAAGCGCACTAAGGATCTCTCCTTCTCACACAAACATCCCCCACATTTTTGGTAATGCTCACAGGTGAGACTTGTGCCTGTAGAAGGGGATAGATTTTCTTCTAACTTGCTTTGAACCTCTGAACGAATGGTTTTCGCGCAAAGGACCGAACTACCCTGAATCTGAATAAGAACCTAGATACGCGAATCACTGCAAGGCGTTGTTGTTGTTGTTGTTGTTGTTGATATTGTTGTTGTTGTTGTTGTTGTTGTTGTTTTTAAAGGAATCGGGCTGTTTTTTTCCCCGAACAAGCGGTGGATCCCGAAGCTCAATTAGAAGTTCCATCCTCGGATAACTAGATGAGCATAGCAGCCTGCTGAGTTCCAGTTAAAATGCACGAATCCGACACAGCTGCCTCCCATAAGCTCAGCCCCAGATCTTCCAAGGTGCCTGCTAGACAGCTCTTCTTGCTGGGATATTTGAACAATGGTAGATCTATCGAAATTGCCTTTTAACGTTTAACTTTTTAAAGAGTAACCTGACCATGCAATTCTTTTTTAAAAAAAAGTCTTAATTGTACTTCCAATTAAGAAACTTCATTCCAGTGTCATTTCCTGAAATCTTAATATGCTACTGTAAAAAAACAAAAACACCTTGCTCATTAGATTTAAAGCAGCCAAAAGGAAGTATTGGTGGCCAATCAACTTTAAAAATAAAGAAAAATAAAGAAAAGGCATTACAAATGGGAAGGGAAAGGCTTTACTTGTTATTATTTCGAAGAACTAACATGACTGTTTGTATATTCTGGGAGAGACAGGAAAATGAAAATGGATCGTTGCTACAATCAACATCCCATCGAGGATGTTAGCTCATTTGGGTCTCATCACAAGACCCTGAACGTTATCCTGCAGGCCAAACTATCTCTCCCTTTTCTTTCAATCTCTTAAGTTCCAGACAGGTTAAACCGATTTAGGGCAGATGAAGACCCTTCACACTTTAGATTGAAAGCAGTAACTTCGAGTGTAACCAGCCGTGACACTCACTAGAATGCCATCTTTCCTCAAAAAGGTACGTTCATTTGCCAGGGACTCCTAGCTCCTCTGGTTTTCTTAGGCAAACCTCGTTGCTCTGGCAAAAAGCCACAGTAGGGAAACAGGCCTCCTTCCTCCACACACACCCCTCCGCCCGCTCCTCCCGGACCACAGAACCCATAGAGAAGCATGCTGCGCCACTTAATTTGCTTGCGCCGTTCAAGAGCTCGGATTCCCGCCCTTCCCCGATCCTGAATATAATGTTTATCGACTCCAAACACTGTCCCTAAATCTTAAGACAAGTGTATTTATCAATGCATTTTTAAGAAGTCGATTTTTCCAGTTTATAAACTTTGCCACCTTCGGATGCTCTTGTCCCGTTAAAATAAGCTCACGTCTGGTTTTGGTATTTGAGATAAGGAGAAGTTTGGTGTTGTTAAGAATCCCCTCACTTTCTTACTGTTCTTTCTTAGAGATTTTTTTTCCTTCCGCTCCAGCAAATAATAGTAATAATAATAATAATAACAATAACAACAAATAACAATAACAACAATAACAATAACAACAACAACAACAACAACAACAATAATAATAATAATAATAATAATAATAATAATAATAATAATAATAA